AAAAAAAAAAAGCTTTCACTTTTACTGTTGCTTTATTTGATTCGGTTTCCTTCGATATAATCAAAAAAAAATCTTTTATTGTTTGTATAGAGTAGTAGACTTCAATTTTGACATGTAAATAAAAGGTTTTAGTGGCTGAAACGTTTACTGCTCAAATTTCAACTCTTGTTTAACAGAAGGAAGACCGAATCTTTGAATATGACTCATCAGCTTCAAAGTTTTCTTTTACTAAACATAAAAAAGAAAAAAAGACTATAGTACACTTTGTGAGCACCAAAAAAACTGCTGATTATTGTACTGCTGTGTTAGCATAAATTGAAAATAATAAAGCTTATTTTTGTTTTCTTTCTTTATCTGCTTTTTTTGAGTATAATTTATACCACAGCAACAGTTTCCTGTGCTGACAAAGTCACTTGAAAACCAGAGGTTAGAAAAAACGAACAGAATGAAAAACTTATGTAGCTTCTCTTTTTTTCCCAGTCAAATTAAACAGGTTATAAAAGAAGCTGATAGTTGCTACAATAAATCACTAAGAATACAGAAGAATATTATTGAAAAACCATAACAGGTTCAAAAAAAAAATGTTTTCACTATCAGCTATTCTCATATCGGCGCTATTAGTAATTTGAAAAGAAGCAAAAGGAATACCTAAAGTAAAATTCTTCACTCCAACTGATTTTTTCTTTTTTTTGGAGCTGCTTATAAACAGAACTTTTTTGGTCCCAATTGAAAGCCCAATTTAGCAAAAAAATTTGTTACAATGACAGTAATTTTTCAGGGAAGGTTTTGAAGAATCTAAAAGTACAAGAAAAAGATTCTTTTTAGTTATTATTATTAAATAATTTTTCAAGCACCACCAAAAACAGCAGAATCTCTGTATATCAATGAACTACAGTAAAGCGTCAAATTTGACGTATCAACAATCAACGGTTGTAAAATCAGCACCAAAAGACATCGAATTTCATCAACAGTTCTTTGATAACCTTCGACTACCGTAACCGACGATAGCGATGCATTTTCTTAGATGTACCATTCAGTTCAACAGTTTGGCTGTTTCTGTTGAGCTGTTTAAACAATTAGTGTTTTTGGTTTTGAGCATTAAATAAATTCTGTTTAATAAAATTATTTTTCTTTCTTTTGATTTGATGTTTACTGAAAGAGTCGATAAATGTACACTAAAATTTATACTTTTTATTTTTATCGAAAAAAAAAAAAGAACTCTTTTTGTTTTTTATCAAACTAAAAAATATAAAATGAACTGTTGTCTGTGATAATAAATAAATAGAAATGAACAGAAAAGTTATCGAGTAGTTTTTACTTCAAATAATTACAA